AAAAGTTGTGTTCATTAAAGTAAAACAAAATAAACTGTGTAGTTTTTTGTTCAATGAAACTATTTAGAAACAGAAACAGTCATGTGGTGTAATAATACAAAATGAACATTATAATGTTGTTTTTGTTGTATGTGAATTAACAGGAACATACAGTTAAATCCTGAAATCACAAAGGCAAAATGTGATTCAGTGAAACAGTCTTTAACCGTTAAAATTAGCAACGGTAATGCCACGTTGAGAAAACGGTAAATTCCTGGAACCATATTTGCAGCTATTAACCGTTTTTACAAGGACATTTTTTACAGTGTTGCTCCGGCTTCAATTTCTTGATGTTAGGGAGACAGACCAGAACAGATTACTATACTATTGCATTCCCCGCCATTGCCAAACTACAACCAGAAAATTTGGCGCAAACTCTTGACGTCACCGACACCTTCCCACTGATTGGTCGGATGGGATACAACCAAGCAGCCACGAGGATCAGACCATGGATCTATTATAATAACTGGATAGGGTATTACTAGCTTGTAGGCTACGTCAGGAATTAGTTTGATGGTAGAATGTGCCAGTAACAATATTGAACACAGTTTTGTTGTCTTGGTTTTTGGCTCCTATATCTCTGTAATTAGTGCGACACTTCACATTACAAAGAAACTGGCACAATGTTGAAATAGCCCAACGTTGAAAAATAGCTTTAGAATCCCGTTCCATTGCCCAAACTCAAAGATAAATCATAATTGTAAGCTGGAACACAACGTGACAAATCTGTGCCAATAGACTTTTGTGGATTATGTGTTTTGGACCACCTGAACTTAAAGTGTTGAATGCAAAGTAATAAGTTAGAGTCTGGTGAGGGTCTAACTAAAAGGACAGTGGTGATGATCCAGGACACTCAACATTCAACATGATTTATGAACATTTATCAACACTTATGGACATTGGTTATCCGCCTCTTATGGACAAATAACAATGTGTTTTCTGTTTTATTTCTCGTGTTTGAACCGTCTCTGATCTGTGTTGGCGAATTCAACAGTTGCGCAAAATCCTCCTCGATAACTACTGTTGTGATTTAGGGCTATACAAGAATACATTGAATTGAATTAACGTTCAAACCACAAAAAAAATAACTTTTATACAATTCATATAGGTTTAGGTTGGAACTTTATCTACCCCGAATGGCAATTTGACCCTTCCTTCCAATGCCACTGGGGCCTCAGTCAGGAGCCGTAGTCGTTGGACAGCACTCAGGACCCACACTCAAAGAAATGACTTGTAGAATTTACTTAATAAAATCATTGTAAGTATTTGCACTCAAAATTTCTAAGTAATTTTAATGCTGTAATATCAAGTATAACTTACTTGCCAGTATCAAGTACAATGTACTTACTACTAACCTTAAACTTTGTGAGGATATTATGTAAATGTTATGCAATTATTTTCATACAGGAATATCAGATATTAAAATATTAGGTAAATCTTACTTTTTTATATCATTTTCTGTTATGAAGTGAATAAGTAGATATTACTTAATTTTTCTGTTTAAATTATTATCATTATTTACATGCTTTTTGGGTTGTTCCACTTTAATTGTATCATGGATGTCATAATATTTATTATTCAAATAGAGCTCAACGACAAGTGGTACAGTGTACGGACTCTGTGGCACACATACAATACACATTTGATCTAGTGACAAACCCAGGAAGTAAAGCCATACTTTGACTTGGCCATGTCGATCATGGTTGGTAAAAATATATTTAAATTTTTTCATTTGGTCAAATTTGTTTGTTCAAAATGTTGCTCACGTATTTTGTTTTAAGACTTGCTTTGTATTCACCCTCAAAATTAATGCTCAAATGTAGATTTTTTCAGAAGTTTATGTTTTTCTCTGCATTGCATTCTGGGTAGCGTCACTACTTCACCCAATAGTTAAAAGTTACTTGATTTTTTCAGGTTTTGGTGCTATGACAATAAATCATGTAAATGGTACGAGCAAATCTCTAGTAAGATGTACTCTTTCCACTCAATTAATTAATTACCTGAATATACTGTGTAAATATTTATGTTTTTAACTAGTTTTTGCTGAAAGTTGATATTATAGGTAGAAACTACTACTTTTGAGTTAGTATATATTACTACATCCAAAAATCATTTTTTTGAGTGCATCTCCAGATGTTGGTGCTCGGCTCGGTCAGGACTCCCGGAGAAGGAACATTTTTAATTGTTGTACATAATTCAATATATAAAAAACAGATTATATCCTCAATTTTCACATGCATTTATGTTTGGCCTCTGTTATGTGAGACAAGACCACCCTCACTCAAAGCGTCAAATAGTGACTCACAGGGCACTTTCTTATACGTATAAAAAAGACTAAGGCAGCATGTTGTGGTCTGATTTGTTCACAGCATTTTAAGATAATTTAAGATAATCGTTTACTCATGCCACAGTGAGGAAATTTCAATGTCATCGCTGCGCACATTACAGCAGAATAAAACGCAGGGGAAAAAAGCACTCAGACTGCACACAACAGGGTCTATTGTTTCATGTGATAGATAATCAGATTGAAAAAATAAAATCATAATCAATAAGATAATAAACTAGAATAAAATAAAACTCTGGGGCACTGGGTTCAGAGGTATTTACAGGTGTGTATATTGTGTTTTAATTTTAAAGGGGGAAAAACCACATGGATTATTTATATATATATTTGAAAAGTGAGGTGCCCCAGTATAAACAAGCACAAATGAAAGTCATTCTCACGTTGCTCTGTTTGGCATCAACTGTTTAACATTTGTAGTTCCACATTTTAACCAATAGAGGCTGATCAAAGTCACGAGTGAGCGGAGCAGCAGTATTTGTGTAAGGTGATCGGAGCAGTGTGGTGCGTTCCCTCCATCTACATTCTTCCCCTCTTTGTTTCTGAGCCAACATCTCTCTCTCCTGCGCTCAAACGCACAGATAGGCACATTTCCTCTGGCCCGGAGTGATCCAGGGCAGCTGCAAAAGGCCTGAGCATGGCACCCTGACGAGAAGTGACAGCTCTCCACACGGAGGGCTGGCTGTGACGGATGACAGATGGATGGCACTCACACGGTCTGCAGAGAGAGAGAGAGAGAGAGAGAGAGAGAGAGAGAGAGAGAGAGAGAGAGAGAGAGAGAGAGAGAGAGAGAGAGAGAGAGAGAGAGAGAGAGAGAGGAGAGAGAGAGAGAGAGAGAGAGAGAGAGAGAGAGAGAGAGAGAGAGGAAGGTAGAAATAGAGAGAGAGCAAGAGAGGGAGGAAGGGAGGGAGAAAGACAGACAGAGAGAGAGAGGGAGGGAGAGAGACAGAGAGGGAGCAAGAGAGACAGAGAGAGAGGGGGAGGGAAAGAGAGACAAAGGGAGGGAGAGAGAAAGATAGAAGGAAAGAAAGAGGGAGAGGCAGACAGATAGAGAGAGGGAGAGGGGGAGAGAGAGAGGGTGAGATAGAGGGAGAGAGAGTGGGAGAGAGAGAGAGCGAGAGAGGGAGGAAGGGAGGGAGAAAGACAGACAGAGAGAGTGAGGGAGCAAGAGAGACAGAGAGAGAGAGGGGGGAGGGAAAGAGAGACAAAGGGAGGGAGAGAGAAAGATAGAAGGAAAGAAAGAGGGAGAGGCAGACAGATAGAGAGAGGGAGAGGGAGAGGGGGAGAGAGAGAGGGTGAGATAGAGGGAGAGAGAGAGAGTGGGAGAGAGAGAGAGCGAGAGAGGGAGGAAGGGAGGGAGAGAGACAGACAAAGAGAGGGAGAGCAAGAGGGGGAGGGAGACAGAAAAAGAGCGAGAGAGAAAGATAGAAGGAAAGAAAGAGGGAGAGGCAGACATATATATATAGAGAGAGAGAGAGAGACAGCGAGAGAAAGAGAGAGACACACACACACACATAAAGAGGGAGATGAGAGAGAGAGAGAGAGAGAGACCACTTGCAGAGCAGCAGAGGAAAGGTCGTGCACATGAATGTAAACACAGGATGGTATCACGATGTTATGAGTCCACTTTATTCATTAAAATACATGTTATTATCATTAACTGGACTGTTTTTATCCTGTACACTTAAAGCTGGGTTTGGTCACTTTGCAACCACATCAAATAATATTCATCCATGTTTTCCAAGATGTCATTTTTTCTGAGATTATGTTTTTATAATGTGATGTATTTTTATTGTATTTGTATTTTTTTTGTTTTCAGGAGTCTAAGTCTGCAAATTAGCAACTGTATATGGCCCAAGAACACGGCAGCGCTTATTGGTAAAAATGCTTCTTGTTCTGTCCCAATATCAAATAAATATATAATAAATACATAATAAATAAACAGTAAATATGATGTTTTGTGATCCAGATTGTTCACAAAAGGAATTTATGAAACAACAACGTGAGGTACTCCAGCTTTTAATCTGAGGGTATCTGCTTTTCTGTTCATAAATCCTACATGTTGTTTTTTCCCAACGGCAAGAGACGCTGCTGTGTCCCATCAGCGAGGGTGGTCCTCACTTTATGTCTGGAAAAGCAGAGATAAAGATGTGACAGAGGCCCATAGTACACATGCATGTGAAAGAGAGAGATTTATTGAACCAAACTGTTTTTATGGAATAGTAGATGGATATTTATTACATATCTTGTTGTTTAAGTTAAGTAAAGTTTGATGTTCCTGTTCTTTCTCTGCAGCCAGGCCTGGAGGTGGAATCGAACCCAGGACCTTGTTGATATGAAGCACTTTGTTTTCTGCTCCACCAAGCCCCTTCTTACTACTAAAAGAGTTCTTTTTTATAGCTTCTGTGTCATTTGTGTGTCCTTCTTGTCCAAAGTTACAGGACAAAATGTTACACACACAGACAGCTGGAAAACAGTGAGTGCAGTGGATCTTTCTCCCAGAATCCCAGTCTCTCTCTCCCAGAATCCCAGTCTCTCTAACAGAAACCTTCCTTCCCTTGTAGAATCCCAGCGTCTCTCCCATAATCCCAGTGTCTCTTCTAGAATCCCAGTGTCTCTCCTAGAATCCCAGTGTCTCTCCTAGAATCCCAGCCTCTCCCAGCGTCTCTCGCCCTGAATCCCAGTGTCTCTCCCTGAATCCCAGCGTCTCTCTCCCTGAATCCCAGCGTCTCTCGCCCTGAATCCCAGTGTCTCTTCCAGAATCCCAGCGTCTCTCTCCCTGAATCCCAGTGTCTCTCTCCCTGAATCCCAGTGTCTCTCCCTGAATCCCAGCGTCTCTCTCCCTGAATCCCAGCGTCTCTCTCCCTGAATCCCAGTGTCTCTCCCTGAATCCCAGCGTTTCTCTCCCTGAATCCCAGTGTCTCTTCCAGAATCCCAGCGTCTCTCTCCCTGAATCCCAGTGTATCTTCCAGAATCCCAGCGTCTCTCTCCCTGAATCCCAGCGTCTCTCTCCCTGAATCCCAGCGTCTCTCTCCCTGAATCCCAGTGTCTCTCCCTGAATCCCAGCGTTTCTCTCCCTGAATCCCAGTGTCTCTTCCAGAATCCCAGCGTCTCTCTCCCTGAATCCCAGTGTATCTTCCAGAATCCCAGTGTCTCTCTCCCTGAATCCCAGCGTCTCTCTCCCTGAATCCCAGTGTCTCTCCTTGAATCCCAGCGTTTCTTTCCCTGAATTCCAGTGTCTCTCCCTGAATTCCAGTGTCTCTCCCTGAATCCCAGCGTATCTCTCCCTGAATCCCAGCGTCTCTCTCCCTGAATCCCAGCGTCTCTCCCACATTCCCAGCATATCTCTCCCTGAATCCCTGCGTCTCTCCCAGAATCCCAGCGTCTTTCTCCCAGATTCCCAGCATCTCTCCCAGATTCCCAGCATCTCTCTCACAGAATATGAGCGTCTCTCTCCCAGATTCCCAGCATTTATTTCTCTGAATTCCAGCGTCTCTCTCCCAGAATCTCAGCGTCTCTCTCCCAGAATCCCAGCATCTCTCTCAGAATCCCAGCCTCTCTCCCAGATTCCCAGCGTCTCTCCCAGATTCCCAGCATGTCTCTCCCTGAATCCCAGCATCTCTCTCCCAGAATCCCAGCATCTCTCTCCCAGAATCCCAGCATCTCTCTCCTAGATTCCCAGCATGTCTCTCCCAGATTCCCAGCGTCTCTCTCCCAGAATCCCAGAATGTCTCTCCCAGATTCCCAGCGTCTCTCCCAGTGCCAGACTCCTCCAGCGTCTCGCCGCAGACGTGTTTGCGATGGCTCCGTGGCAGATGTTTCAGCATGTTGTCACTCATGATGAGAATGCGGAGCTCGATTGATGCCAACACTCTCGACTTGTGAACGCAGAGAGATGTTGCAGCTCCTCTCTGACACACTGCACCACGCGTCTGTTTTAATGACAACATAAAGCTGCGAGATGCTGAATGTACACGCTGCGTTGCCTCATTTACTATCGACACATTTCACTCTAATTAGACGTGGAGAGGTTTATGCATCTATTTAAGAAATCCAGTTCAATTATTGATTAGGTGTCGTTTGAAAGTGAATAAATAATGACCAAATATCCATGGGTTTAATGTCTGTACATTTTAGAAAACAGGAAGAAGGTGGTTTTCTTGCTCTGGTCTGCAGTTTGACTGTTCTCCCTGTGCAGATGAGATTAGAATTAGCTCAAATGAGTAATATCCACATGTATTTTAGCTTCTAAAAACGATTACTTTATTACAGTGTTTACATTTGTATTTTTTTACCGCCCAAATTAATAATTGGAAAATAAAAATAAGTAAATTGGTTTATTTATAAAGTGCCTTTTACAGACTAGAGTCACAAAGCTCTCATGGGCATTTGTCTCACTCCACACAGAGATGGGAGCGAGGTCTCCTACAGGAGGCACATGCCGTTGTACATGTTTGTAGCAGTAGGGAAACCGGAGCACCAGGAGGAAACATACGCAGACACATGCAAACTCCACTTAAAAAGGCCCTGTTACGACCGAGATTCGAACCCAGGATCTTCTTGCTAAAAAGCAAGAATGCTATCCACTCAGCCAATTTGGTTTTTCAGCACAATTTATACACACAGCAAGTCAAAGGAGATAATTATTTCAAAAATAAAGGAATAAAAAAGTAAAGAACATGTATATAATCACGGTACATGAAATAATTTAAAATGATAAAAGTTTACATGTTTCTCTGGAGACAAAAGAAGCACAGTTGTCGTGAGTTACATCCCAAGGCTATGTTACTCAAAGTTCACTTTCAATGTTGTTTTACAACTTTTAATTGAACCACAGAAATAAATGGACTAATCCTCTCTAATATATCGCCTGGCGTCGTACGAAACACTGACAGCTGCTGAAAGGTAATCATAGGTTCATAGAAAGTGTTATATTTGTCCTGATGACAAGTTGACAAATGTCACATTCAAAATAGCATCAGGATCTGAAGCGTTGTGTTAACACTTCTTTGTGATGATCTGACGCCCGCCACATCAAAGTCACTCATGGTTCCAGATCCAAAGACATTCTCACATTTGTCTCGGTGCATAGAATGGACACATGGACGTCACTGGATTTTAAAAGTGTTTTGTTTAGAAGCTCTATACCCATTTTTTTTAAGTTGAAGAGGTGTTCTGTAGTATCATACCAACACTGCGTCTGGGTTTGCGGTCGAGGATAGCGTTGGATGGACGTGTGTTTGCAAATACAAGAGAGATGAAAACACAAACAAAGGGCCCTCAGTCCGACACAATTCGATTCTCACCACTGTTGCTCGGTGTGATCTATTCACTGGGGAGTCCGAGGAGCCCCATCCTCCGCTGGAGTGTTGGGGAGAAAAGTGACAGATGAAAATAATGTTGCAATGTTGTCTGTGTTGTGTCCGAGTGTGTCAGAGTGAACCAATCAGCAACTACATACAAAATATGAAACGAAATGAATCCCAATTGTACAAGAAAAAATACATATACTGTATATGGTGATTGATTGATTGTATTTCAAGCTTATAAACAGGAATCAATTATAGATTTAACAGCAATTACATATTATACATGATAGAAACGTACATACTTACATACATTGAATGGTTTACTTTTTTCCCCCACTCCTGTTAAAGCTCAAGAAGGAGTGGGGAGAAGTCAAGCTTACAGGCTCCCACCCCCTAAACCTAAATTCACTTTATACATACACTATCATCTTTTTTCATAAATCTTTCCTGTGCAATAAATAGTACAACATATATGTAGATTCATGTGAGTATCACTGTCAATATTGGCCTGTAACACATTTTCCAGGTGGCAGGGCCTGAATAAGACGTGGTTATGAGAAGGTCCCATTGTAAAGGTGCTGAAGTGGACGTGGCCGGTCGGCGCCCTCTTGATTTGAAGTTGGCACGTTGAGCTTGGCGCTGAGTCTGATTGAACTAATAAGCCCATGACTGAAACCTTAAGTGACACTCTAAAACAGAAACAGTGTCGGCTCTCAAAGGGGCCAAGGCGCGGCTGACAAGTGTATTGTGTACTGAAGAGGTGAGGACTATGGTAATGTTGTCAAGCGGCCCCGGGGCCTCGCAGCCTCGTTACTGCTCCCGCTCGCTCTGTCAGTCTCTGAACGCTAGAATTCAGCTACGATTACGTCCTCTCCGCTTCCCCTCACTTCCTGTTGGCTCCCGCAGTCGTAGGCCATCACTCATTATATTAAAAGAGTTGTATGTCTGTGGTTTGTGTGATCGTTAGCTGTGCTCCGGCTGTGTCGCGTGAGGCCGATGGCTATAAAGGCGACGTTTCTTCTGAATTTGAGTTCATGAACTAAACGTGGGTTTAGAGGAGCGTCAAATGTACTTGAACATGTGGATACTGAGGCTGTAGTGGTGTTGACAACGATACCGCTGTGACCACTGCTACACTGCCAGAGAAATGAGTTGCAACTGACAGTCTCCATGTATGGCGGCCATGTTGAACCATGTCTCCAACCAACGCAGGGTTTAGTCTTATTAAAACGCCCTCAATATTTTTATCATACAAAAAATTAGAACTCAAAATTAAAGTGACATTGAGTACCTGCCTTGACAGATTTTATATCATTTTCACAACAATTACATTGAAACTTGAACATACCTCATACCATGGGGAGGCCTAAGGGACACGCTGGAGGAACTAAAGTCTGTGTCAAACTCCACTGCAACATCATCAGGGGCCCCATGCGTTAACACTGGGGGGAGAGGTTCTGCGTCTGCCCCTGGGCGCACAAAATATTTTTTTAAAGACTCCGTCAACAGACTTGACGGATGATGCTCGAGATGGTAAGGTCTGTGATTGGTCCAGGGAAGAACAGTGGAGCGAGCGGAGGGAGGGGGGGAGGGAGGACAGGGGGGAGACCCGTGTCTGTGCCGTTCCGTGGCTTCGAGTGAAAAAGCCTAAAACTCATGTTTGTCAGATATAAGTCCTAATTTAAGACCAAAATAACGTGTGCGAGTGCAGACAACCGTGATCTCTCCTCGTCCTACAGTCGTATTATCACCACCACCGGGTCTGGAGTGAATGAAGACGGCTGTGAAGGGTTTTTGGGCTTCATTAGAAGGGCTATTTGTCCGTGATCGTCTGTGTTTCAATTATATTCAGCTCCAACAATAACTCTCTTGGAAGCACAACGGTAATACTGTATATCACTGGGACAGCCAGGTTTGCACAGCGACCCCTGCTGATGAGGGAGAACATTGCAGTTGCATCGGGAGGGAGAAGTATCCTGGTCCAAGGGCTCTCCGACGCTCCACAGACACACAGTGAGAGAGTTCAGGGGGAGTATCCTGAGGCCTTCTCTCAGTGGGTCTGGTCACATCTCAGGATTCCCCTGGAGGAAGCGCACGTGGAGGGGGAAGTCTGGGCGTCTCTCTGCTTGAACTGCTACCTCCACAACCCGTAAACTTATAAAGCAGAAGAAAATGGATGCATGGATTTATACATAGGATAATTCATTAAGAGTCAAAGATGAAAACTGAAAATATGTCCTTTAGATTGTGAACACATGGTCCTTATAAACAGGAAGTTGACATAGACCCTTTTATCTGACCACAGTGTGTAAAAAAGAACAGGGGACAAACCTTGATGTTCTGGGGGTGCTCGGCTGACGCAGGACTGACCCTTATTGTCACAGCTCAGTCATAATCATTGTAGTGACTGCAATGGTGGGTGTGTAAACAGATTTTCTTGCCACGAGTAATCCTGAAACACACACAGGAGAAGTCTGCCATGAAACTTAATCACAAAAGGTCATGTTGGTGAGAATAGAACAGATTAAATTAGCATAGTATTAGATATGGAAAATGATTTCTGTCAAATCAAACTGTAGCACAATTATAATATGTTAATTACTCATTTCATTAAGGACTTGATTGCGGCTCCCAGATGAAGTGATGCGGCCGAGACACCTGAAGACCCCGTGTCTGCTCGGCTCTGGCTTTTACCGCCTGGACTAATTGCCTGAACGTGATGCAGAGAATTGTTTCAAAGGGCGAGGAACTGCTCATTTGTTCATCAAAGGGAAGATGATGAGGGGAGCGAGCTGCTGTGACCCCCGCACAATGCTCCTTTAGGGAACGCTGCGTCTGTGCCCTCAGCCAATCAAAGCTGGAGCTGTAATGCTGCAACGCAAATCCACCAATCTAAGAGCAAAGACTTCAACTGAGGCGTTAAAATGATCAAAAAACCATCTTTTGATCTGTGGGGCAGTTATGGGAAGATGGGCAGAGTTTGTTAGAGGCATTAATATAGCAGCGCACTGAATCAGCTATAATT